CACACACACACACACACACACACACACACACACACACACACAAAAGCAAACAAAAAAGCAGACATATGAGATTTTTTTTCAATGATAGGAGTAATAATACAAATAACTTTTCAAGTGATAATGTAAAATAAGAGTCAGCAAGTAAAGGCAGTTGATGCATAAGCCTGGAGATCCTGAGTTCCATCCTTACACATATGTATATGTGTATATATATATTTGGTCTTTTTGAGACAGGGTCTCCCTGTAGCCCCAGCAGGCCTAGAACTCACCATGTAGACCAGGCTGTCCTCAAACTCACAGAGATCTGCCTGCCTCTACCTCCAGAGTGCTGGGATTAAAGGTGTGCGCTACTACTACACCCTGCATAGTTTTTAAAAAGGCCACTCCTTCAGCAGGCAGGGACTGAGATTTTATTTAATTCCTAGTTCCAATACACATGTTAATTCTATTGCAGTTTTACTTGGTTTTTCATCTTGTGTGATCTCAACTAGAGTCTTAGAAGTCCTTTGTAGAAAAGTCTTGGATCCATGGAAACATTGCATCTTGTCTGTTCTAAACATAAGGTACATGCTCATCAATAGACCCTTGTTCTGTAGAATGGTTGGGCACCCCACTCCCCACCCCCACTATTCCCCCAGTAGCATGGCTAAGAGCCACTGCATCTCATGGCTTGTAAAGTACTTAACAGCTGATGAATATTAGGGTTAAATGGGCTTAGATACTCAAATAAGCTTACTTCTGCCTGGGGAAAAATGTCTTATAGTTTGTACCTTCACAACAAAATAGCATAGATTGGTGGCTTAAATAGCAGAAATGAATTTTCTTGAAGTTTTGGAGGCTCTAAGATCAAGATCAAGATATTGGCAGATTTGGTTTGTTTCATCAGAGACCTGTTTGTTTAGCTTGCAAATGGCTTCCTTCTGGCTCTGTCCTCACACAGTCTATACTCAATGCATGTGTCCTGTGGTGTTTCTTTACATATACAAATTTTCTATTCTTATGACAATACCAGTCAGGCTGCAGTGGGGCATATCCTGACTGGTGTCCTCTAACAGCCTCTTTTAACTTAATCCCCTCTCTGGGCTCTATGTCAAAATAGTGTCACATTCTGAGGTACTAGATGATAGAGTGTCAACATATGAATCTGGAGGAGACATAATTCAGCCTATAACAACAGCTAACTAGTTTATTTCTGCCCCAGACACTAGTTTAGGCTTTATTCATTTCAAATGTCTAACATTTTAAAGTTTTCTGTTCCCCCACCCCCAAAATTGTAGAAAAGTGATTTCAGGTCCTCTAAGCTTCATGTGGGAATACCCAGAGTGACCTATGGGGCTGCAGTATGGTTTTCTGTTGGGGAGTGTCCTAGTTTGTTCTTCATTGCTGTGACAAAACACTCTGACCACTACTAACTTGGGGAGGAAAGGGTTTATTTAGCTTACATATCCTGGGTCACAGTTCATCAGGGAGCCCAAGGTAGGAACTCAGGGCAGGAACCTAGAGGCAGGAGCTGGAGCACAGGCCATGGAGGAATGCTGCTTACTGGATTGCTCCCCTGGCCCCTGCTCAGCCTGCTTTCTTATGCAACACAGGCCTGCCTGCCCAGGGGTGGTACCACCCACAGTGGGTTGGGCCCTCCCACATCACTCATCAAGATGCCCCTCAGACATGGCCACAGGCCAGTCCAATAGAGGTAATTCCCCAATTAAGGCTCCCTCAACCCAGGTATGTCAAGTTGACACTAAAGCTACCCAGCACAGGGAGCCATCTAAATGTTGGTCAGCAACAGTCCTACCAACAGGCCTCTGAGTCAGAGAGGTGCTCTTGGGATTTTTCCCTCCCTAAAGCATATCAGTTAATTTAGATGGCAGGCACATCTAAGGCATTGGGGGGGGAGGGGGCTAAAGATATTTATTATGCATGGTGAGGAAACTACTGGAGAAAGCTTTCTCTAATAGTTTTGATGAGCAGTAATGAAATAGAGAGGCAAGATGAGAGGCCTAGAGCTAATTCTTTCATGTTCCAGGAAAAAGGAGACCCCTCCTCCCCCTTAAATGATGTACTTTTTTAAACAGAAAAACTTAAGAAAATGAACCAAACTACTGGTATCCAGGCAGATCTTCTTAATTCCTGATGTTGTACATCCTACAAAAATAAATTTTATGAGACTCATCTCATGAAACACACCTACGGTCAAGAGCAAAATGCATTTAATAAGCACATAATGTTGTTTTAATAAAGCAATGTCTCGAGTGCCTACCATAATCAACTGCATATGCCAGTCTCAACTGTGTTTTAGTCTTTAAAGGGTCACTTTATCTTACATTTCCAGCATGTCTTATAGCATATAGTAATTTTTACTTTATAAGACTAGCATTATTAAGAGCTCAGTGCATTGCTTATCAGCCTTAGTAATCAGTTTCTACCTCCACAGGGTGATTCTTTCACACCAATGGGAATAAACACCTGGTAGGCTCTATCTGACTGTTCTATCTACTGACAATAAAGTAGTTCTTTCCCCACACTAGTCTCTTACACATGGAAGGGGTCTATTCCATATTAGCTTTAAAAGACCATTAACCTGTTGTAGAGGTGCAAACTTAATCCCAGGCCTCTGCCTGGGGATGTCTGTGAGATTGAGTTCCAGGCCAGCTGGGGCTAAAGGGAGACCCTGCTTCAAAAAGAAAAAAAAAAAAAAAAAAAGAGGCCAATTCGGAACAATGCCCAAAGAATGACTAATCAAAATTCTTCGCACCGTATTAGGATGATTGTCAGTGAAGACTGATACCAAGAACAATTTTCACTCTGAATTTTATTTGGTCAAGTTTAGTGGTTTCATTTACAAGGAAAAACTATAGTTTATGAATAACATAACAAAACCTTCATACCACCTTAGCATAGTAAATGGGAGCAGCTGATGTTCAGAAACGTTAAAGCTTCCCTTTGTCCACAATGGTAGTCAAGCAACATAAACGCGGGGCATTTTCTCAACTCAGTCGTGAAAAGGTTCTGTAAGAGAAGGCTCTTAAGATTTGTGGTGCCGAAAAATTTAACTTGCGAGGGGTTGGTATAAATTTGAAGATCAAATGTCATGCTAGGTCTTCGTGTTCTCGTTTTCATTCTCCATTAAATTTGTTGTGCTTTTGGTCTTCCATTTTCTTGACTTTGCTCTTCCTACTCTGCTCCTCCAAATGGCAGAAACCTGGCTTTAACTGATCACATCTCTTCCTCCTCCGCCCCTTTCATTCTGGGTCTTTTCAGATGTGAAATGAGAAGAAAACCCAGGTGCTGACTGAACATTGCATATTTAGTTTTCCAGAGTGTCTCTCTCTCTCTCTCTCTCTCTCTCTCTCTCTCTCCTCTGTAAAATCACTCCGCCCTCATTTTGTGTCTATTTAACGCCACTGTCGTTCCAAAACGTAGATTAAGTGGCCAAGAATTCCACTTCCAAAATGGCTTGCTCCTTTGAGCTGACATGAGTCTATAAAATTCAATTTACGCCCACTGCAACGAACCCTTCTCCCGACTCCAAACATGACAAGATACACAAACAGCTGAGCCTGACGAGTACAAAAAAATCTCTGCTAAATTCAGCAGAGCACGCCAAGCTGCGGCAGTGAAGCAAAACGAACGTTAAAAGGGCAGAAAGTAAACACCCCAAAGCCCACACTTGAAGGGCGGGCTCCAGTCCTCCCGCCGCCGGGA